AGTTCCAGTATCGATAAGACCTCGTACAACACCTCCCAATCGCCTCTACTCAGAAGTCCAAAAAATCTCCATTACTCAAATCTCCTTTAACCCTTCCTTCCCTTCTTCCACATTTTACATTTCCAGTCTGTACCTGGTTCTTCACCTCTCACTGACTGTTAAAAGTGTGGAGGTTCACCCTCCTGTCTCCTCCCACACTTCTCCAATTCCCTTTACCCTTTCGTCCCCCCCTACTTTGGTACAGTCCATTGCTGTCTCAATCTATACTCGCCCTCCTTCCATCTCCAATATTGTCTCCCATACAACGTCTTTGTCTTCCAAAACACTTGAAGCTATCTCAGAATATATGGAAGACTAAACCATCAGTGGTCACTGATCCACCACCTGTTCCTCCTCGTCCCTCTCCTCCATCTGCACAACTCATCTAAGCAGCATCCCATTCCTTCGCCACTTGAAGGTTTTCCGTTGCTGCCACACACGGACTTTTATAACCCCTCTAGTTCATAGGTACCTGCTTTTCGCTCTTAACCAATCGAGTCTGTGCAAAAGCAAACATTCCATCCTTGTTAGATTGTCGTGGTGCCCATTGCCTTCAGTATTGTTTACTCTCATGATCTCCGCAATCCTTCCACATATTGAATAGTCCCTGATGTTAGTAGACATTTGTTCGTCACCCCTGTTTACTCCGTCCCTTTTCTCTTCGCCTACATTAGCTCTTGTCTTCCCATGTTCATGTGGCATCTCGCTTTGCCCTAACCCTTTGGTAACATCCAGCTGTTCGTGTCTGTTCTTTCTCACTGCTATGCACAAAGGCCCACCTGCCTACAGTAGCTTCCCACTCTTTGACCACTTCTGCTCATTCTCATGCAATCGCAGTATACACAGATGGTTCTAAGTCTTCTGACTGCATCTGATTTGCAGCAGTGTTTCCAGACAGTGTTGTGTGAGGGCATTTACTATCCTCAGCTAGCATTTTTACTGCTGAATTGTGTACCATTCTTGCAGCATTTATCTGTATTGCATCTATGCCTGTCACCATTTGTAGTTGTTTCAGACTCCCTTAGTGCTTTACAGGCTATATGAAAATTTGATACACCTCACCCCCTAGTTCTCTGTATCCAACTTTGGTTACGCTGTATCTCTACCAAGCACAGATAGTTTTTTTGTTGGGTCCCTGGTCATGTTGACGTACAGGGCAATGAACAGGCAGACACTGCTGCACTGTCAGCAGTACACGACCTCCCAGTTTCATATAGAGATCTTCCATTCATGGACTATTTTGCTGTAATTGCTACCCACCTCTGCACCCGTTGGCAACAACGTTGGTCTGATCTGCTCGATAAACTCCATTCTATTAAACCGAGTATAGGTTGCTGGCTGTTTTCTTGACATCAATGTAGAGGTTGAGAAACCACTCTCATGTCTTCGCATTGGTCACACTAGTCTTATTCACGGGTATCTCATGGAGAGGTGCTCTGTTCTTCTGAGAATTGTCAGGTTCCAGTATCTGTTAGCCACATTCTGTTGGACTGCCCACTATCAATGAGCACGCAGAATTTACCTCGGTCATCTTCGCTCTGCTGCTCTTTCTTTACCTTCCTTCTTGCTGACAGACCCTCCTTTAATCCAGACTCTCAGACTTTTCTGACAGCTGATTTACTCCACAAATTCTGATACCTTTAGCACTTCCCTCAGCCCTTTCTACCCTCAACCCCTGCACTATCCACTGCCCTGCTGTACTCCATAACCTACTAATCATCCCTCTCCCTCTTGCTACCCGATACCCTCGCATATTTCCCTGCCCTGCAATGCTGTATAGCCCTTGTCGTTTAGCGCTTCTTTTTTTATTATAATAAACAACCATAGTGACATTACACATCCCTGTTTAAGACCTACTCTTACTGGGAAGTAATCTCCTCTCCTACACCCTAACCTGAGCCTCACTATTCCATACATTTGCAACCTTGTTCCCCCTATCTGCCTTGTATGCCTTTTCTAAATCCATAAATACAATGTAAACTTCCCAACCTTTATTTAAATATTGTTCACTTGTATGCTTTAATGTAAATACCCATTCAAAAGCCTCCTTGTTCATCTGGGATCTTGCTCTTTTACCTCTAATTCTTTCAGTAACTACCATACACTATTTGGTGTACTCGGTAAACTATGTACTACTATCAACATACCAGCCATATCCCACCGAGGTGGGGTGGCCCAAAAGGAAAAACTAAAGTCTCTTCAAATTTAGTAATATATACAGGAGAAGGGGTTACTAGCCCCCCTGCTCCCGGCATCTTAGTCGCCTCCTATGACACGCATGGGTTACGGAGGAAGAATTCTGTTCCACTTCCCTATTAAGAAAATAGAAGAAAATCCAGTGGGGTATGTATGTATATGCTTGTACATGTATGTGTAGTGTGACCTAAGTGTAAGTAGAAGTAGCAAGATGTACCTGAAATCTTGCATGTTTATAAGACAGAAAAAAGACATCAGTAATCCTACCATCATGTAAAACAATTACAGGCTTCTGTTTTACACTCGCTTGGCAGGACGGTAGTACCTCCCTGGGCGGTTGCTGTCTACCAACCTACTACCTAGGACTCGGTAAACTTATTCCTCCAAGTTTCTCTTGTCCCCAGTTCCCTTTATAAAAGGGAACTATACATGCGCCCTGCCAATTCCTACGTACCTTCCCCTCCATTACATTTAATGAACAAAAGTACCAACCACTCCAAAACTATATCCCACCCTGCTTTTAACATTTCTGTTATGATTCCACCAGTTCCAGCTGCTTTACACACTTTCATTCTGCATAATGCCTCTAAGCACCTCCCCCACACTCACATCCAGCTCTTCACTCCTAAAAGATGTTATACCTCCCTGACCAATACATGAAATTGCTACTTCTGTTTCCATCCACATTCAAGTGCCTCATAATAGTCCTGCCATCTTCCAAATACCTCCAACTCTCCATATACTAATTCCCCTATTCTGTTTTAAATTGTCAAATCCATTTCTTCCTTAGGCTTTCTTAACCTATTTATATTTCTATACTGTTTTCTTAGCAAAATTTGTTGACAGTCCCTCGCCCACTATCATTTGCTCGTTTACGCTTACTACTACACTTTCACTTTCCATATATTCCATCCTTATATCACTTCATCTTTGTAAAAACCTATAAGATACCTTTTTCCCCTTTCCTGCACCCACCCTCCTATAGCCACAAACTTCTGCCCTGCATTTTAACACAGTTTTTAAAACTATCCCACCCCTCTTCAACCTCCTACCTTTCTCTCAATAGTTGCTTATATCTCACCCTAACTTCCTTCTCTAGTTCATAAACTTCCACCTCTTACTTTCTGTTGCTATTTTCCTTTTGCCCCATCTACCTCTTACTCTAAATGTAGCTACAACTAAATAATGCTCTATCTGTTGCCCCTCTATATACATGCACATGGTAAAGTCTACGCATTAACTTTTATCCTCTTTCTTACAATATATTACTTATTACCAAACCTGTTACCGTACATAGTTCAATTAAAGGCCCCCCCTCCCCCCATTTTCATTTATCCCTGGTACCCCAGATTTACCTACTACTCCCTCCACAACAGTTTTACCCACTTTAGCATTTAGGTCCCCCCACCACAAGTACGATCACTTGGTTTAAAACTCCAAGCACTCGTGCAACGTGTCTCAAAATCTCTTATCTACACTTCTCAAGTGCATGAACACTAACCCACTTTTCACATCAGACCCTTATTTTACTCCACATAATCCTTTAATTTGTACACTTACATTATATCTTTTCTTGCCATAACTAATCATTATCGCCACTCCTTAGCACTAGCTGTTCGAAACCCCTGACCATGTATTTCTCCCAACTGAAACTCTCCTACCCTCTTCAGCTTTGTTTCACTTAAAGTTGGGACATCAAGCTTTTCATTCATAACATACACTATCATTATCATCCGCCCTACATCTACGCATATTCAAACATCCCAACTTGAAGGTTAAAAGCTCATTGCTCCCGGAATTTAAGTTGACTTTTACAACACTGAGGAAAGATTCTTATTCCGCTACCCCATGGATATGGTAAGAAAATAACAAGAATTTAAGAAAAATCTAAGAAAACTCTGATGTGTATACATAAACATAGGTCACACTACACACGCTTGTATAAGTAACAAGATATAAAGACAAAATAACAGGTACGAGACAGGAATGACACCAGCACTCCTACCATCACGTAAAACAAATGCAGGTTGGTCTATACATTTGGCAGGACAGTAGTATCTCCCGAGGGGGTTGCTGTCTACCAACCTAAAATGCGTATCTAGATGCGCGCGCGCACATTGTATACGATATATATATATTAATTATATATATAATGTATGTAAGAGTCTTTTCAAACTTTGACCTAGATTTTCACTAGAGAACCATGAACATTAAAATGTCAGCATCCATCACACTTCTGGCATGTCTACCTCTTCATTGCATCAGAATCTGGGTTTGACGAGGCTACGTAAACTCCTCCACCAAGGCAGTCAGGCTCAGTTGCAACCATAGTTTTTTCACCACGTAAAATTAGGGTGATATTAAAAGTAACATCCTCACATCATTGCAAGTGTATGAGTACTAAGCCTTGATCTTGTGTAGCTCTTCACTCGAGATGTACCTTGATGCTACAGGTTAATGATAATTTTGACTGGTTCTTCATACTAGATTCAGCGTTAAACCTATAAGGGTCATACAGCGCCTCTCTTCCTACTCGAACTGGACCTATTCCTTTCGTATCTTATTGCCTCCAATTTCCCAGGGACTGACCCTTGAGGGTGTAGCATTTCCATGATTATACATTTTTTTTATTTACCTACTACCAATACTTTCACTTGTTTTCAGTTTATGATACTAAGCATTAAACCCATTTTTAAAACTTCATACTACTATTGGCTAAATAAACAAAGTTTACAACAAACAATTGTTAAAAATTTAATTCCTTGTAAAAAAAATAAAAACCACATGGATACAGACTTCACAGAGAAAAGAATGAAATTTCACTATCCAATATTCACAAACAGAATTTACAATGACCTTCGTATTATCAGTGAAGGACGGCAAGGCTCACATTAGCACAATTTGAACTGCTGTATGAAGCCTAGTCTGCCACATAAATATTCTATACAGGCGTTAACTGGGTCCACCCATCTTTCTCCAAACTTGTGCATCATGCCCGCATGATCCACACAGCCATCAAGTGTAATTTTACTTTCTCTGAAAGGAAAATTAAGATGCAGAAGGTAAGTGACTTATAAGAAAGGAAGAACACTGCAGGAGGCCTGTTGGCCTCCTTCAAACTATACTACAAAAGGTTCATATTGCAGTTCATTGGGGGTACCTACTGCGGGTGACACCTTGGACAACACTCTCCTGGAAGCTTATGTGGGTCACACTCCCGTTCCGGCAGGGGACCACAGTCTATCTTGACGCAGTTAACGTTACCCTCGGTGCAGGAGCAATTCATGCAGGAATTTTGAAATCAATCCAGCTATCACCCTCTTCGTGGCGATTTCCTTCGTTACCTTGACAAGACCTGAATTGGTTATAAAAACTTTACATGTCAACTTTATAAGAAAAAATAAAAAAAAACTTAAGACTTCAAAGATTGTGAAAAATGTAATTTAAAAACTAAGTTTCGTGAACAGTTATAATTTAAATAACAAAGGCGCAACACAGACTCCAGCAAAACTACAAAAAAAAAAATAACTTACATCATTCGAAATCAAGAGTATCGAACAATTAGGTCAATCAACGTTAATATAAATTACGTAATTTTGCCAGAAAGAATACAGTACAAAATTACTGCATTCCTTCCCCGGGAAATAATAGTAAAAATATAAAAAAATAAACACTCCCTCATAAGTTTCCAGTATCTGATAAGACCTCACGTTACAACCACACCCAATCGCCTCTACTCAGATTATTATTATTATTTTTATATTCAAGGGGGAAGCGCTAAAACCCGGTGGAGGATTATACCGCGCCTGGGGGGGGGGGGGGGATGGGTTGTGGTAGGCATTCGGCTTAATTCGGGGAACTGGAGCAACAGTTCCAATCCCTAAATCAAGCGCCCTCAACCTACATCTCAAGGAACCTTCCTTGAGGGGCCTCTCACTTCAGAAGTCACAAAAAAATCTCCATTACTCACAATTCCTTTAAATTCCTTCCCTTCTTCCATTTTTACATCTTCCAGCTGTACCTGGTTTCTTCACCTATCTACTGAATGTTTAAAAAGTGTTGGTGGTTCACCCTCCTGTTCCTCCACCCACTACACTTCTCCAATTCCTTTACCTTCGTCACCCCCTACTTTGGTACAGTGTCATGCTTGTCTCATATCTATATCGCCTCATCCTTCCATCTCCTATATTGTATACCAACAACAGTCTTTTTTGTCCTCCCAAAACAATTGCAGCTATCTCTAGTATTAATATGGAAAATAAACCTTAGTGGTCACTGATCCACCACCTCGTTCCATCCTCGTCCTATCCTCCATCTGCACAACTCATCTATGCAGCATTTCCCATTCACTTCGCAACTTGAAGAGGTTTTCCGTGGCTGCCATCACACGGACTTTTTATAACCACCTCCTAGCTGTATAGTCCTTGTGGACTTAGCGCTTCTTTTTTGAATTATAATAATAATATATCCCCTCTAGTTTCATAGGTACTGCTTTTCGCTCTGATACCAATCCGAGTTGTGCTAAAGTATTCATTCCATCCTTGTTAGTTGTCGTGGTGCCATTGCCTTCAGTATTGTTTACTCTAATGATCTCCGCAATCCTTCACTCATATTGAATAGTCCATGATGTTAGTAGACATTTGTCGGCACCCCTGGTTTAATCCGTCCTTTTCTTCTTCGCCTCATTAGCTTTGTCTTCCACCATGTTCATGTTGAATCTCGCTTTGCCCTAACCTATCGGTAAATTCCTAGCTGTTTCGTGTCTGTTCTTTCTACACGGATATGCTCAAAGGCCCAACCCTGCCTACTGTAGCTTCCCATCACTCTTTGACCTCTTCTGTTCTTATATGCAATCGCTGTTATACACTGTGGGTTCTAAGTTTTCTGATCTGCATCTGTTTGGCACGCAGTGTTTCCATGACTGTGGTGTAGTGAGGGCTTTTACTATCCTCAGCTAGCATTTTTACTGCTGAAATTGGGTACCTCCTGCAGCATTGAAATCTGGTAGTTGCATCTATGCCTGTCACCATGTGTAGTTGTTTCAGACTTCCCTTAGTGCTTTACAGGTATATGAAAATTTGATTCTACCTCACCCCCTAGTTCTCTGTATTTCTATACTTTGGTTTACGCTGTATCTCTACCATAGCACTGATTGTTTTTTGTGTTGGGGCCCTCCTGGTCATGTTGAGTACCAGGGCTGTGAACAGGCAGACACTGCTGCACTGTCAGCAGTACACGAGCACTCCCTGTTTCATAGAGAGATCGTCCTCATTCATGGGACTATTGTGGCTGTATTGCTACCAACCTCTGCACCCGTTGGCAACAACGTTGGTCTGATCTGCTCGTATAACTCCTTTATAATTTAAAACCGTGAGTTTAGGTTGCTGGCTGTTTTCCTTGACATCAATGTAGAGCGTTGAGAATCCTCTCTCTTCATGTCTTCGCATTGGTCACACTTAGTCTTATTAACAGGTATCTCATGGAGAGGTGCTCTGTTCTTATGAGAATTGTCAGGTTTCACTGTTTCTGTTAGCCACAGTCTGTTGGACGGCACCATATCAATGTAGCACGCAGTATTTTACCTCGTCATCTTCTCTCTGCTGCTCTTTCTTTACCTGCCTTCTTGATGAACAGCTCTCCTTTAATCCAGACTCTGTACTTTTCTGACAGCTGATTTACTCACCAAGTCTGATACCTTGTAGCACTTCCACTAGCCTTTTACCCTCGACCCCACATGCACTATCCATGACCGCTGTACTCCTTACCTACTAATCATCCTCTCCCTCCTTGCTACCCGTTACCTCACTATTTCCCTGCCCTGGCAATGCTGTATTGCCTGTCGTTTAGCGTTTTTTTTTTATTATAATAAACAAACATAGTGGACATTACACATCCCTGTATAAGACCTACTCTACTGGGAGAATCCTCCTCTCCTACCACCCTAACCTGAGCTCACTATAACTCATTACATTTGCAACCTTGTTCCCCCTTTTCTTGCCTTGTTGCATTTTATAAATCCATAAATACACATGTAAACTTCCCAACACTTTATTTAAATATTGTTATTGTATGCTTTAATGTAAAATACCCATTCAAAAGGACCTCTCATTGGTTCATCTGGGATCTGGCTCATTTTACTCTAATTCTTTCAGTAACTACCATACACTATTTGGTGTACTCGGTATTAAACGATTGACTTAATATCAACATAACAGCCTTAGATTCCCACCGAGGTGGGTGCCCCAAAAGGAAAAACTCTAATGTCTATTTTCATATGTAGTAATTGATACAAGGGAACGGGGTTATAGCCCCACTTGCTCACCGGATTTTAGTCGCGCCTATTGGACACCGCATGGGTTACGGAGGATAGTATTCTGTTCCAACTTCACTATAAGAAAATAGAAGAAAACCAGTGGGGTATGTATGTATATGGCTTGTACATGTATGTTGTTGTGTCGAACCTATGTGCGTAAGTAGGCGCAGCAAGATGTACCTGTAAATCTTGCATGTTTATAGACAGAAAAAAAGACATTCATTTATCTACCTTCATTGGGTAAAATCAATTAAAGGCTTTTGTTTTACATCGCTTGGCAGGTCGGTAGTATACTGGGCAGTGTTTGCGTTTCCACCTTTACCTAGGACTCGGTTTAAAAACTCTTTTCCTCCAAGTTTCTCTTGTCCCAGTATTCCATTTATTACCACGGCCACCCCCCCGCCCCCACCCACCCCCCCCCGAACCCCCCCCCACAACATCCCCCCAACACACCCCAATCCACACCGGCCCACCCCACCCACCCCCACAAGCCCACACCCCACAAACACCCCCTACCACAACAACACCCAACACCACCACCACCCCCCTCCCCCCCACCCCCCTTAATTCCTACGTACTTTCCCCTCCATTTAATTTTAATGAAACAAAGTACCAATCCACGCCTAAACTATATCCCAACACCTGCGTTTTACATTTCTGTTATGTTTCACAACTGTTCCAGCTGCTTTACAACAACTTTCATTATGCTTAATGACCTCGTATGCACCCTTCCCCACTCTCATCAGCTCTTCACTCCTAAAAGATGTTATACCTCCATGACCATTACATGAAATTGTACTTCTGTTTCACATCCACTTTCAAGGGCCTCATAATAGTCCTGCCATCTTCCAAATACATCCAACTCTCCATTTACTAAGTTACCTATTCTGGTTTAAATTGTCAAATTCCATTTCTTCCTTAGGCTGTTCTTAAACCTTTTTATATTTCTTTACTGTTTTCTTTGCAAAATTTGTTGACAGGTCCTCGCCCACTATCAGTTGATCGTTTTACGCATACTACTACATCTTTCTCTTCTTTACTTGTTATTCCTATCCCTTATATCACCATTCTTTGTTAATAAAACCTATAAGTTACCTTTTTCCCCTTTCCTGCACCCACCCTCTTTAGCCACTTACTTCTGCCTGCATTTTTAACACAGTTTGTAAAACTATTCCCAACACCTCTTCATCCTCTACCTTTCTCTCATATAGGGGCTTTTATCTCCACCCTAACTTCTCCTTTCTTAGTTCATAATACTTCCACCTCTTAATTTCATGTTGCTATTTTCTTTTTCTCACTTCGACCTCTTACTACTAAATGTTAGCTTCATACTAAATAATGCTCTATCTGTTGCCCCTCTTAACATGCACATGGGTAAAGTCTACGCATAAACTTTTTATCCTTCTTTCTTACAATATATTACTTGTTTCCAACACCTTTTACCGTACTTAGTTATTAATTATAAGGCCCCCCACTCCCCCCATTTTCATTTTCTGGTTCCCTGATTTTCCTACTTCTCCCTCATACAACCAGTTTTACCCTCTTTTGGCATTTAGGTCCCCCCACCACAAATAAGTACGATCATCTTGGTTTATATACTCCTAGCACTCGATGCCCAACATGTCTCAAAATCTATTATTACACTTCTCTTGTGCATGAACAGCTAAACCCACTTTTCTCAATCAGACCCTTATTATCCACATAAATTCCTTTATGTTGTACACTTATTTTTATCGCTTTCTTGCACATAACTAATCATTATCGCCACTCCGTATCTCTAGAATGTTCGAAAACCCGTGGCCATGTATTTCTCCAATCTGCAAACTATTCTTACCTCCTTCAGCTTGTTTCACTTAAAGTTGGGACATCTTAAGTGTTCAATTCATAACATACACTATCATTTATCATCCGCCCTACATCTACGCATATTCAAACATCCCAACTTGAAGGTTAAAAGCCTCATTATGCTCCCGGAATTTAAGGTTGACCTGTCTACTACTCTGTGGATAGAGTCTTATTTCCGCTTACAAATGGTTATGGTAA